TACATAGCGCTCGAAGAGTTTACCGGCGAAGACGGCGAGACAACACCACCGACCCGTCTGTTTGCCGGCATTTGCGGCCACTTTGCGCTCAAGAGGTTTGAGTTTTCGGGTGACAGTGTGTCGACACATCTCTTCGCCGAAAGCGTCGCAAAACTCACACAATTGAGACATTTATCGGTGTCTTTCGATGGCATGTATTTCAACACAAATGTCATGCAATCGATGCCTAAACTCAAGTCATTGTCTTTACATGAAGTGAAATGTTTTGCCAAAACGTTTGGCAAATTAAAGCAAACCTTTCCAAACGTTAAGCGCTTACAACTGATTAACATTCAACTCATTTGTGAGTGCATTGAAAACGGGGAACAACTCTTCGCCGACAATCACTCCACCGATTGCCGACACTGTATAGACAAATGCATGCAATCTGTGTCGCGATTACCACAACTCAAGCGATTGAATGTGGTTTTCATTGGCAATCGCTTCGCCATTAAAGCCAATGATCTAAAACTCTTCACTCATTTAAACACATTGAGACTCATATCGGATACTAATGTCGAGGAATTGACTGAATTTATCGATTGTATTGATCACATGTCGCCGAAGAAGTATTTCAAACTTGTATTGAGTGCTGATGTCATGGAACCACTGAAGCAACGTTTGGTTGACATTAATCTAATGATTCCTAAGAATATTAGTGTTATGTTTTCTAAGACTAAATTCTAAGCCCTATTAAATCCCGGAATAATTAATGGGATTAATGTTTTAGTTTAATTGCATTTATCGTACATTTATTTCTGATTTATATGTTTTTAATTATAATTTAATTTGAATTTAATTGTAATTTTTGTGTTATTTTACATTAATTGATGTTTTCTAATGAATATCCAAAACAATATTAATTTTAATTATTTAATAAGTTTTTAAAAATATTTTTAATTTAATTTTAATATAATTTTGTTTTAGTTTTAATTTATAATAGAAATTAATTTAATAGTAAATAAATTATAAAATCAAATGACATGTTTAAAAACCAACACATCATTTGTTTAATTCAATGTAACTTTTTATTTAATTAGTTTTAATTTAAACGGTGTATAACTTTATACTAATTCAATAAAATTAATCAAATAAATGATTTATTAAAAAGTTTATTGACTATTACAGTAATTATTATTACTATCGTATAACAGTAGTACACACTCCACACTATGATATTGTTATTGTAAATACTATATAATAATGGTATAAAATGTAACCATGGTCAAAATAACGGGTAATTGTCCATAAATTCACCATTAATTGTGAAAACACGTCAACTGTGCCAAAATGTATACGTTATATGTGTATCACAAACGCAAATACAGTGCCCTTTGTATTGAAATACTATAGCAATGCTTACCAATAGGTTAGGCGCAGGGGTTTGATAGACATGTGATGTAACAGTGTTTGTGTGCAAAGCAGTCATTGAACACATGTTTTCTGGTGAACACAAACGCTGCGGAGGAAGCGATACAGACATGGATTCACTTGCGATGAACACCACTAACAGCCGAGTGATGAAAATGACCAGAGATTTGGTTGAATGCAACGAAACTCACAATCAATTGAGTGATTGTCTGAACGAAAGACAGAAAACAATAAGCGATTTGTTTAATGCAAACCAATTGATGGTTGATATGATTGAACAACACTTGGGAACTGATCCGCGGTTTCAGCCAATGATAGCGGAGATGAGACAAACCCAAGAATCGGATCAACAAGTGGTCAACCAATGGATGGCAACGAAGGCATCACTCGATGACAGAAATAGCGGACAGGAAATGAAGGAATTGATTCATAAATTGACACAATCTATGAGAGCCAAAGACAGTGAGACAATTGGCGAAGACATCACCGAAGGGAAGGACTGCGCGAATGAAGTGATGCTGAAGACAGACGCAGACCAACCGAAAGGCGTCAAACACTGATCTCATCGGAGGCCAAGAGGTTGGCCACAAATGGGCCGCCAATTGCCCGTCGAATTCAGTTTAGTAGTGGCCACTCGTCTGCGGATCAAGTGATTGACACCAATCGACGCAAATGTGTTGATAGAGATGGGAGGCGTCAAAATCGGGTCAGACCTGTGCTTAAGAGTTTGGCCACAACTTCGCGCCGATTGTCAATGCGTTCGCAGTTTAAGCCCAACTGTCCGTACGGTCTGCGCCCTAATGGCAAAGATATGGCCACAGATGCCAGTGTTGGCACAGATATGGGATCTGATTCCTCGAAGTAATCATCAATTGTTTTGGTTATGTCTTTGATTTCACTAACCATTCATTTATCACTGATTTCTGTTGTTTTGATTATAATTTGATTTGAATTTCAATTACTTTTATATGAATTAAGTTTTGCCGACAATTCATTCAATACAATATTTTTGCTGAATTCAAATACATTTCAATTGTTTAATCAGTTTTATAATTATTTGATTTAATACTTTTAATTGAAGTAAACTTTTGTATTTTAATCACAATTGCTGTAACAGTAAACTTAATAATTATATGAATATTATTAATTGAATTCAATTAATAAACATGTAATTTAATTAACAATTACAAAATAAAATGATAGATTTAAAAAATCAAAAATATTTGTTTTATTCGATGTAACTGAATTTAATTTTCAATTTAATAAACATTTCAATTCATTAAACACTTGAATGCAAAATGATTTACTATTTGGTGTAAAAAGTGGGCTAAAACTGCAAACATTTCTTCAGTTAAACAATTAGTTAACAAATCAATTGAAAGTAATTTTAATTTATATTTATTACAAACGAGTATTAAAATACAAGAGTTAAAAAAAATTCATTTGTATATCAATTTCTAAATCAAAAAACATTTTTAATTTACAATTATGTAGTTTTTATAAGATTACACTTACATTTATATTATCGATAAATTAAATACAAACAGTTAAATTAAATTTAAAATAATTTTCAAACAATTAAATGAATAAAACTTAAGTTAAGTTTATAATAAAAATCTAACAAATAATACTTAAATTAATTGACGCCTAAAAACACTTATAAAAGTAAAAGTAATTTCAATTCAATTACAAAAATTACAAATAATTATAAAAACATAAAACTATAATAAATGAGTGTTTCTTAAAAAATCAAATCCAAGTCTATTGTTGTCGGCGTTACTGATCCGCGCCATCATTACCGCCGTCGATATCAAGAGCGGAGTCCATGGTATCAACCGCTCCATCACTTCGCACACCATTAGACTGTTCCCAATGCGATGCCATCACAACCTCTTCACCGGCTGTCAAACCATTCATGTCTTCGCCAATTGTCTCCGACTTTGCACTCATCTCAACGCTCGTCTCCTTTGGTATCAATTGATTAAACTCACGAATCGTATCATCGATATCACGGATCGCTTCCTCGAGTTCATCACTACTGGCATCGAGTGCTGACTTCGCTGCCAGCAAATGGTTCAACCCTTCCAGTTGTGGCGCCAATTGTAGCTCAATATCACCAACGAGTCCCTGTATTTGTGGATCAGCTCCGATGCCGAGGTCTTCCACAGTTGTCAACAGATTGTTAAGTGTCTGCAACTGATTGTAAGTCTCATCCGTGGTATTCATGTTACCAATCAATGCACTCATCTCTTGATTGCTTTCAAACATGCATTTCATCACTTTTTGCTGTGCTTTTATCACGTTTAGATTGGCCTTTGCAACTGCCCATGAATGCGCGCCCGAAGCCATTCCTCCTCAGTGTTGATCCCAAGATATGAATCAATTGATGAATGGTTTGAATAAATGGCAAAACACGTGGAAATAGAAATGACAAATTAAACCCCGTTTTTGCCCGTAATTTATGGCAAATATAATGACATGAATTTGAGCGCAAAGTTTGAAACATAATCTCAACATTTAATTATTAATAACAATTTATTTATTAATTTTTATTAATTATTTTAAATCTTGTTTTAATTTAATATTTGAATGTAATTTAAGTGACAAAGACGTGGACAAACACAGACATTTTTTGATCTCAAAACTTTAAGTTTTACAAATAAAATTTATAAATAACATAAAGTTTTACAAAATAACCTTCAATTGGTTACAGGCGTTATCGCATTATCTTAAATAAAATCAATCAAATCGATTAATATTGCAGTTTTGGCTTAATCAATTCTAACATAAACATGCATTATATTGGTGACATATAAATAAAACATAATTTATAAATAATACTGTTTATAATTTATAAACTTTATTTGTAAAATGTATAAAATATTTGTATTTACAAGAACAACTAATTTTTAAAATTAAAAGTGTGATCATTTAACCCTGTTATTAAATTTTTAATTACAATTTAGTAAAAATATTTATCACCAACTTAATACAAATATTAAACCAACAACAATATGCCAAAAACACTGCCGTCATCGGTGGTCAGCAGTGATAATCACCATCAAAATTACCCTGATAATCAAATTGATGATGCCGAGCATCTAGGCACTTGTGGAATGGGCTCGTGGCGGCCCAAATGGCTACAGGTGTTTGCGAGCCCCCTATTTTTCACGGTCAATTTTACACTGATCGGGATCATTCAGAGTTTGTCGGGCACTTATATGATGTCCAATTTTAGTACATTGGAAAAGAGGTTTGGCTTTGACTCAAAGATGTCCAGCGCTATACTGATTGCCGATCAGGTCATGGAAATGCTGGTAAGCTCTGTGTTCGTGATAGAGGGCTTCATTTATAAGTAAATACATTTAATTATTATTACCAAGATAAGCCCGTTTATAGGCTATCTGGGCACCCGATTTAGCAGACCAAGATTATTAGCATTTGGTCAGTTAGTACAAGCGTTGGCCATGTTCATTAACGTAATGCCCTACATGATCTACGGCCCGGGCACACACCTACTCACCGACGATAGTCTACTGTCGGTCACATTGGCTAAAAACGAGACCCGATACGAGTCGTGTCCGGCCGATCCCACTGGCATTGACTGCTCCGGTGGTAAGCACTCGACGGTATGGCCGGCGTTCATCATTTTCCTGGTTGGAGGCGCTGTGAAGGGCTTCGGGTATACGACCTTTTGGGTGATCGGCACGCCTTATATCGATGACAATGTGAGCAAAAATAACTCACCTATGTACTTAAGTGTCATCACCTCGCTCAGATTGATCGGACCGGCCGGTGGTTTCCTACTGTCGGGCCTGGCGTTACGTTTTTATGAAAATCCCTTTTGTATGCATTAATCAGATAAATAATTTAATTTAAATAATTTTTATATGTATTAATTATTAAATTACTCATTTCTATAGTTGATCCTGGTGTTACCCGTAGAGATCCCCGATTTATTGGCGCATGGTGGATTGGGTTTGTGGTGATTGGTGTGTTATTACTGGTGGCCAGCCTACCCTTGTTTTTATTCCCACCACAATTCAAATCAGCCCGGGTTAAAATAAACAATATAAGAGACAACAAAACTAATTTGAAAGGTAAATAAAACAGTAATTACTAAATGAAATTAAATAGTTATTATTAACTACCTGGGTTAAAATTGATGGTTTTTTTGCAAAGGGATGTTACAAAGCGTCAAACGGTTATTCAAAAACAAATTGTTCGTGTTCAATTTGGCCGGCAACGTGTTCAGGCACACTGGTTTCGGTGGCTATTATATCAACAAAACCAAATACATTGAGTCCCAGTTCCGGCAGACCAGCTCCGGGGCCAGTATCCTGACGGGCACCACAAGCATACTGCCAATGACTGTGGGTATTATGATTAGCGGTATGATTATCAAGTACATTAAGCCCCGGCCCATCACACTTGTCGTATACATGTTTGCTGTCGAGTGGTTCGCAAACGCCGGTATGTTTGCCGGTATGTTCATCGGGTGCCCACCCCTACAACTTCCGCACACACTCACCGTAAATAGCAAGTATACAATTTGCTGAATATAAACATCTAGCAAGTTATATTTGATCAAATGATTATTTTCAATCTAGATTTACATTGAATGCCGTGTGTAATGATGGCTGCAATTGTACGACTAGTGTGTTCACACCAATCTGTTCGGCCGATAGGGTGACCACATATTTCTCGCCCTGTTATGCTGGCTGTACGACCATAAACAGGGCCACCCAGGTATGAATGATGGTGTAGTTCAATATTTGTAAATATCAAACATTTTACTCGTGACAAACTTTTGCAGACAATGTCAGGCTGCGAGTGCATCGGCAACGGAGGTGTGGCCACTGCCGGGTACTGTCCGAGCGATACCGCAAATTGTGACACACTATATATTTATCTATTGGTGATGACAATCGGTGGTATTATAACCTCGACCGCCAGCACCGGTAATATTCTACTTACACTCAGGTTTGATTACATTTTAAATTAATTAATTAATTATAAATATAAAGTATAAGTTTTTTAATTAATAATTATTAATAGGGTTATTGAACCAAAAGACAAAAGCTTCGCGATGGGAATGATTGTAACCATTATGGCATTATTTTGTAATAATTAATTAAACAATATTTAATTATAGTAACTATATTTATAATCATGGTTAATTATCGCTCCCATATTCAATAGCATTCGTACCGTATCCGTTAATATTTGGTACAGTAGTGGACTCAGCCTGTCTGGTATGGGAGAGTAAGTGCGGTAAAAGCGGTAACTGTTGGCTATATGACCAGGATCGGTTTCGGTATACACTGCACGGCACGGCACTGGCCTTCATCACGATTGGCTCACTCTTTGATTTGGGAATCATTTATAACGCAAATCTCATTCAAAACTTTTACGACGAGCCGACCGGTGCTGATGTCAGTGATGGCGAAGAGACTGATCCCAAAAGTGATGATAGAAATTATATTCGCATGACTTGAGTGTTGGTGTAGTTTGAATACTACCGGTGCTGGCAATTGAGATGTGATAAACGATTTTAGTTAATCATACATGTTTAATCATGTTTAGTTTATTTGACAGAGTAATTAATTAAATTGATTTAATATTGATTGATCAAATAAAATAAATTCATTTTGAGATAATTTTAAACAAAATGGTTTATATAGTTAATGATTTATAAATGTATTTATAATACTTTCAAACAGATAGAATAAATAAGACGGTTTTATAAATCTAAATCTAAACAAATTATTCATTTAAAGCATAATTTATATTATTAAGATAATAAAGTACAGTAGAAGTGATAAAATACATTTAGAAGTTACAAAAATTACACTACGGTAATATTACATTGTAGCGAAAGACAAGTCCCGAACACCGAACAGCACCCGAACAAGACATCCACCGAACAGTACAGCCATTCATACATATTCATAGCATTCAAACCACATATCCGTTGTAAACCTTTGCCCTCATTCATAAGTCCTTCTCATACATAAGCCCTAAAACAAACATCACATTCAATGCCCTCAACAACCAGTTGTAACCACTTTAACAACAATTACTCTTAACTATGTTTAACGCATCTAATTGTAATTAACCGAAAAGCATAACATTTATGTATCATTCATATCATTGTGTCAAATCATACGCATCCATACATACGAGTACTTCTGACCTCCGATCACTAGAAGTCACATAACATTACTTCTCATATCATACGCACTGTCATAACATATAGATTCAATCCATTGTAAACATTCATAAAATCATTCATTAAAACAAGAGGGAATTGATAGAACATTCATACACACGAAGTGCTGCCCATTTTACTTCTCACTCACTAACATTCATTCATACAGTGACTTCTCCCTCTTCCCGGACTTCTCATCCCGTAGTCCGTGTAGTACTTCTCATACGTGTCCATACATACAGTCATCACAGCCCATACGTGCATACATCAGAGGTCCCATCCGCAGGACTTCCCATCCGTTCACTCGCACCNACTAACATTCATTCATACAGTGACTTCTCCCTCTTCCCGGACTTCTCATCCCGTAGTCCGTGTAGTACTTCTCATACGTGTCCATACATACAGTCATCACAGCCCATACGTGCATACATCAGAGGTCCCATCCGCAGGACTTCCCATCCGTTCACTCGCACCACAACCTCTCGACACACATGTTAACATTATTAGTACCTATTCATAACAATTTATTTTATTTTTAATAAGAAAATACCTATATTTAATAATCATTTTTGTTGTTTTTATCAAAATTCTTTTAAATTTCTTAAAATCGAATATTTGGTAATTCNATGTTAACATTATTAGTACCTATTCATAACAATTTATTTTATTTTTAATAAGAAAATACCTATATTTAATAATCATTTTTGTTGTTTTTATCAAAATTCTTTTAAATTTCTTAAAATCGAATATTTGGTAATTCAATGTCCACTATTTGGTCAGTTAAGAATCACCTGTCTTTGGGTTTTATCACCTGACAGGTGAGTTTATCACCTGTCAACCGGTCGGATGAGCGTGGTGTTGGAGAGCTGTGTGTAGGCTGTGTATGCTGCCATCTGAATCAGCGGTTCCAAGACATTAGTCCCCGAATACCGTCCGACGGGTCGTCAAGGGTTCACCGCCAGCGAACACGAGCCCGACTTTCGTCACAACATTAAAAATGAATCTAAAATTAATTAGAAAATTTAATGTAAATGATAAATGTGTTAAAAATGTGATAAATGTGTTCTTTGAATGAATTGTCGGAAAATTCATATAAAAAACAAAAAATTTCAATTAAATGACAATTACTAATACTAATACAGGTCATTTAATAAATACAGTAATAAATGAATATTAAATGTATGCCAAAACAATCTATTGTTTGGGTCAAAGAGTATTGTTAACCAAACGGCAAGTAATTTTGAGTGGGTTATAACGATAGCCGGGTGTTTGATGATAGCGCCGGTGCCTAACGATAGCATGTGACCAACTCGTGCGGTACTGACATCCGGGTCGTCGACAGGCATAGGGTTTGATATTGTTGTGTGCGTTCGTATGAGAGGCCAGAACTTGTGTCCATTTGGTAGTGAACGTACAGTGCGGCCAATCACACCGGTATAACCCGTCGACTGATCGGTTGGGAGTTGAATGCAGTTTCGGTCGTACGCGTCGTCTCACCGCTCGCTTCTTAATTGTGGCCAAACTGTTGACCGCAGACCTGACCCGAGTTCGGCGATTCCCTTTACTGTGTCCATCATTTCGTCGGCCGGTGTCTGCAGTCGTGGTCTTTGCCGACACTTCACTCTCGCAGTCGTTATTGCCGTCGATATGAATATCAGACGAGTCGAGACTACTATCTATCAAGTGATCACTTCTCCAGTCATCGCTTCTCTGGTCAACAAATGTCTCCCAATCGGTGCCAACCGTTATCTCCTCGTTATTGTCATCGCTGTTAACATCACTCATGTCTTCACTGATCGTCACATTATTTGCCGAAGAGTTTGCATTCAATTCACTACTCATTCCCAACGATTCATCGATGGTTTGAATGCATTGGTCTCTCGATGTCAAGCATTGTCTCCAATTGTAGATCAATTGCTCGACATTTTGTCCACAGTTTGTGTCAATCAATAACTTTTTTGCCATTAAATTGTCTTTTTTTCGATTAACCACTTCTTCGAGATCTTTAGCGAATCCAATCAATAGCTCAAACTCGGGACACTTCTGGACATTGAATTCAAGAGATTTGGTGAGTCTTTCGTTGGCTTTTGTTAAGTGAGTTATGATTACATCAGTTGTGGCCAAACAATCGGTTAATCCCGTAATTTTGGCCTTCATTTCAATCATCTGTTTCTGACTCGAGAGCCAAATGTCTGTCAATTGGATGTCAAATGTCTTCATCTTAAGTGAATCCATAGCTCGATGTCTTCCTCCACAGCCTTTATGTCCTCAAGAGTTGATCCAAAGATATGAATGAATTGATAATTGTTTTGCTTGAATGGCGAAAACACATGCAATTGAGAGACCGATTGTCACTTCATTTATGGCAACCAATAATAACAACACGTGTTTTGAGCGCAATGTTTGAAAACTAAGTTTTTAATGAAAAATTACTTTAAAAATTACATACAATGCAATACTAGAGATACAATTAAATATAATGATTACATTCATTGGTTATAAATTGTAATTTTAATTTATAATTCTGATTATAATTATTATTAATTTTAAAACAGATTATATTGGAAATTAAATTTGATTTACAAATTAAAAAATTAAATTATATAAATTACTTGTGATAAAAACAAAAATTACATTATGCTATGATTACATTCACATTACAAAAAATTGTTAATCAAATCCCTTTTGATCGTAACATAACTTATGCCAAAAAATGTCAAAAATTTTATTTTGGATGAATTGTCGCTAAAAAAAAGTACTTCATATAAAAGGAAACAAAAAATTTCAATTATATTCCAATTAAATTATAATTAAAAATATAAAACAGTAATAAATGTGTGATAAATGAGACAAAAACCATTAATTGTCGGGAACGGGACCCGAGTTCAGGGATACTCTGGCCAATAGATTGACAGGACATTTAGGCCGGTATTTATAATATTTATTGCTGTGGAGGCGCTTATGTCTGATGAGATTTTCGCAATAAGTGGTCCGGAATTTACATCCGGCTCTACCGCACGCGTACGGCCTATAATTTCGGTGTGCGTTTGTGTGGCGGACAATATGTGCCTTCGATTTGCTTGAGTACCGACAGTCGGGCCACTGACACGCGTATGGCTTATCACACGTGCGGTCGATATCGTAGAGATGACCCGTTGCGGACAAACCAATTGTGGTCTCCGTTCGGTATGAATAGCATTTATTTCTCTGTTTCAATCGATGCTGAATCAGGCCTGCGGGCCAACTGCAGGCCATGACTGTAGGCCCGGCTAGTGTCCGTATCCCAAACTATAACAACACACGCAAGCACACTATCTGTTCATAGGCCACGACAAACCATCACTTGAATGTGAAACCGGCTAGTGTTCGCATATACCCGTCGGCCGATGGATCGGGAGTCGAATGCAGTTTCGGTCGTCCGCGTCTTCTCACCGATCGGTTCCCATTTGTGGCCAAACTCTTGATCGCAGGTCTAACCCGTGATTGACGCCCACCGCTGTCGCTACCAAACCTAGCCAGCCACAAACAGAAGCGGCTGTGAAGTGAGAGCGTCAGTAATAACAGCAGCAATAGTGAGGTCTGTAGTGAAGAGAGCAGTTGTTTACAGAGGGTTAGGCACCAGAGACAACAATAGTATGGTTCGCAATTATCGTCATCACTGTTCGTATTATTCATGTCTTCATCGATTGTCTCACTGTTTGCCACAATTATGGCATTCATTTGACAACTCGTATCCATAGTCTCACTGTATTCCTCGTCAGTTTGAGCGCATTTATCTCTCTTTGTCGCCGATTGTCTCCATCTATGAATCAGTTCTTCGACATTATGTTCGCAATTACTGTCATTCAGTGACGCCTTCTTTGCCATCAAATTCTGTTTTTCTCTTTCAATGGATTCCTCGAGTTGTCTGAAGAGTTCAATCAACAGCTGGTCCTCACCATTCTTCTGGACATTCCTATCGACCACTTTTACAAGAGTTTGATTCGCTTTCGACAATTGAGTGATAATTACTTCACTTGTGGCCAAACAATCGGTTAATCCATTCATTTTGGCCTTCATTTCAATCATCTGTTTCTGACTCGAGAGCCAAATGTCAGTCAATTTAATGTCAAATGTTTTCATCTGAAGTGAATCCATGTCTGTATATATTCCTCGTGAGTCTTCGTGTCCACAAAAATGTTGATTACAAGATATGAATAAACGGATCAATTGGTGTATAAAGTTTATACTATAAACACGTGTAATTCAATATATTGTACACAAACACTGTTACGCGCCGTTTGGCGCACAAATCCCTGTGAGTTATGTGTAAAATATATTTCTATAGTATTTCAACGCAAAGGGGGCTGTATTTCACACTCGTATATAACGGACACATTTCCGTACAGTTGGTGTACATAAAGTTATTGCAAACAATTATTGGTTTTGAGCGCAATATTTGATATGTATTTCTATAACTTTTATTAATTACTAAAAACATGTATAAACTTAAGATTATTTAATAAATTTCACATTTAAGTGTTGCTTTAGACAAGTTTTTCCTGTTTGGCCATTGAGTAGAAGATGGATGTGTTGTCCGCTAAGAGCTGTTCCGGTGTTTGTGTACAATATATTGAATTACACGTGTTTATAGTATAAACTTTATACACCAATTGATCCGTTTATTCATATCATGAATGAGGGCAAAGGTTTACAACGGATATGTGGTTTGAATGCTATGAATATGTATGAATGGCTGTACTGTTCGGTGGATGTCTTGTTCGGGTGCTGTTCGGTGTTCGGGACTTGTCTTTCGCTACACTCTCCCCCCGTTGTTTGAGTTTTGAGTCGCCTCAAAACTTCTCCATTGCGGTGACGTATGGTTGCAGTGGAGTAACGGATGTGCTCTCAGGGACTTCTGCGGTGAATCGGATGGTCGAGAAGTACGATCCCTGGACGTGATGTTGTTGAATGTCGCGCTCGGCGTATGAGTGGGTGATGTGTTGAATGTAGGGGAGGTGTCTTCTCGAGAAGTAATGCTTACGGATGTGGTGACTTCTCGAGGGGATGTATGTATGTGTTGCTGTGCGGGAACGGTAGGGCTGTTGATGGACTTCTGGTTGTTACAACGCTTGGGATGCGGTCCGTCTGTGGTGAACGTCGACGCGTCAGAAGAGATGGTAAATGTCGTCATGCTCTGGACTTGTCTTGTTGTTCGGGCCACTGATCGACGGTGTATTCGCTGGTTGTGAAACGTATGTCTGTCTTTCAACTGATGCCTGTGTTCGCCGTGTTTTGATTGCCTTCTGTTCTGTTGTGGAAATGAAATGAGAGTGGAATTGTTAGTCGGGACTTCTGTCGCAGAAGTTCTGTCGTGGTGTTGCGGGTGTTGTCGTGGTTGTTGTGATGAGATGTGTGTCGATTGCAAGTCCAACCGTGAGTGGAATGCAAGACCGTTGGTGTTGTGGTGTCTGGTGTGAGTCAATCGCAAGTCCAACCGTGAGTGGAGAGCGAGACCG